AGGATATAAATGTTACAGATACAGAGGATATCACTGGTGCTTTAGCTCACCTAGTAAGATGTCAGACTCTCATGCAGGAGACCTGGGTTTGATTCTGGATGTGAACATAGTTTATTTAGAGTTTCTTTTTTACATTAATGATATATTTTTTACAGTAAGATGCCCAAATTTTTATTTGAGACTCGCCGAACGGCATTGAATTCACAGATAAAAAAGATGTGGGTTCAACTTTCATTTTTCAAGCAAGGGAAGGGAATGATCTGAGCATGCAGGAGGATGTCACACCCTGTCCTGTCTCCCCATTCTGTTCAGTCCTGTGTCCATGTTAATTGCTCCCACCTTTCTCTCGTCTCCCAATCACCCAAGGTCCTAGCTCCTCCTGTATTTAAACCCTGTTAGTCCATTTTGTCTGGTTGGCTCATTGTTTCGTTATCCAGCGTGTGGTCATCATTAAAGGCTCTTACTCGTTCTGGTTTGTCTGCCTGCCTGCTTCCCTCACCCGCGTGTGGATCCTTGCCACCGCTACACTCACCGGCACGCGCTGACAGAATGAGCCAACCCGCTAAAGGATCCAACGGGGAGATTCTCCCCTGGGAGTGCTTGCTTCATTTCCTGACCTCCAAACACCAGCTGGCTTGTCCTCCTCCGGCGTCGCCTCGCCACAGACGTCGCCGCCGAACTTCAGCCTCGGTGGTCCTCTCCACCCTCCCGGAGCCAGATGGAGACTTGGATGGGGAGGCGCAGACTGACCGCTCCTGCTATGTGGGCACCAGACTGGCTATGTGCTCCCCCGGAGTTGGCCCACGGCGTTGGGAAGGATGCCGGGCTGCGCCGTCACCCCTTGTCCCAGGACGGAGCCGCGAGCTCGCTGCTGCCCCGGCTCGGTGCGCCAGCTTAGACCCACCCCCAGTCAGATCAGCAGTCCCGTCTCCGGTCCAATCAGCGCCTCCGTCATCAGCAGGCGAAGGAACCACGCCTACACCCCAGCTGACAGAGCTCGCCGGCCTCCAGGCGGAGCTTGGCCGGATCCTTCAGCTCGTCAGCTTCCAGGAGTCCCAGCTGGACACCCTATCCTCCCCGAATCACCAGGAGAAGGTGTTGGTCCAGTCAGCAGCTCCCTCGTCTCCAGGCCAAAGGATCGAGTCCGCAGTCCACCCAGCAGAGCTCGCCGGTCTCCGAGCTGAGCTGGCCCAACTCCATCAGAGCCTCAGTCTCCAGGAGCTCCAGCTGGACACTCTATCCTCCCTGCTCTCCCAGTTTCCGGCGCCACCAGTTCAGTCCGTTTGAGTCCCAGCAGTGACCCTTGAGGCTCTTCCCCCGGGCCGGCCAGTCCAGAAGTCGGCAGCCCCTCCTGCAGCGGCTCCGCCTCCACTCCAGACGTGACGGTTCCGGTCCAGAAGTCGACGGTTCCGGTCTAGAAGTCGACGGTTCCATTCCAGAAGTCAGCGGTTCCGGCCCAGAAGTCAGCGGTCCAGAAGTCGGCTGTTCCGGCCCAGAAGTCGGCGGTTCAGAAGTCAACGGTCCAGAAGTCGGCTGTTCCAGCCCAGAAGTCGGCGGTTCAGAAGTCAACGGTCCAGAAGTCGGCTGTTCCGGCCCAGAAGTCGGCAGTTCAGAAGTCGGCGGTCCAGAAGCCGGCGTCGGCGGTCCAGAAGCTGGCGCCTCCGGACCAGAAGCCGGCGGTCCAGGTCCAGAAGTCGGCGGTCCAGGTCTAGAAGCCAACGGTCCAGAAGCCGACGGTCCAGAAGTCGCCGCCTCCAGCCCTGAGGTTGTCGCCGCCGCCTCCAGTCCAGAAGTCAAGGACGTGTCCTCCGGCGTCTCTGCCTCCGGTCACCGCCAGTCCTGCCCTCACCAGGCCTCGGGCCCCCAAGAGCCCATCGTTGCCTCCTCCTCTGCCCCAGGCGCAGGCCCCCAAGAGCCTGTCCTCACCTCCTCTGCCCCAGGCGCAGGCCCCCGGACTCTACTGGTCCCTGCCTCCTCTCCATCGGTCCCTCTGTCCCTCTCGGCCCTCCCTCCGGGTCCCCCTCCTCCCGCCCTGCTCTATGTTCCTGTGGGTGTCTGGAATCCACCCTTTTGGGGGCGGGGGGGGGGGGGGGGGGGGGGTACTGTCACACCCTGTCCTGTCTCCCCATTCTGTTCAGTCCTGTGTCCATGTTAATTGCTCCCACCTGCCTCTCGTCTCCCAATCACCCAAGGTCCTAGCTCCTCCTGTATTTAAACCCTGTTAGTCCATTTTGTCTGGTTGGCTCATTGTTTCGTTGTCCAGCGTGTGGTCATCATTAAAGGCTCTTACTCGTTCTGGTTTGTCTGCCTGCCTGCTTCCCTCACCCGCGTGTGGATCCTTGCCACCGTTACACTCACCGGCACGCGCTGACAGAGGACTGACCCATCATAAACCTTTGTCGGCTGTGCTGAAGAGAAAGCTACAGAACCACATTATTTAATTAATTAGCTGCGTGTTCTCCTGTCCTACGGCCACACACACACACACACACACACACACACACACACACACACACACACACACACACACACACACACACACACACACACACACACACGGGACCGTCTCAGCTGTTATTTTCGTTGAGTGTGCACGTACAGCATGCGTGCCTCGTGCACGAGCCTACTATTGAAGCTGCCGTTCTGCTTTTGGCCTGAGGGGGCAATCGCGAGCATAAAAATTGAAAACTCCGTAAATTCCCTTTAAGGGGCTGGATTGGGGGGCTTAACCACCAGATAGTCCCTGAGCGTAGCCACAGCTGCAGCTCACCGCCCCCCACAGGGATGGGTCCGATGTGGAGATGTAATTACACCAACGTGTGATGATGACTAATAGCACTTTGACTGTACTTCAACTTAGAAGTGGGTAATTTAATCTTATGTGAAGCTAAAGCTGGATAAAAACTTTAAATATTAGATTATTTTTATTTAAAGTACCAGAAATCTTACTCTCAAATGACTCTTAACAGCATATCTTTTGTAGAACACGTTTATGACATTAAAAATTATCTCATTTTGTAGAAAAATGTTAGCGTTCGACAAAGGGAGTGAAAGATGTTGGAGTCGAGACCGTTGGCGGCTCCGAGTTGATTTTGGAGTCTGCCGAGCAGCAGGAGTGTGAGGTGATGCTGAGCAGAGCGGCGCTGACTTTGTTGTTTTAGCGGAGGGGGTTGGTCCAGCAGGAAGGTATTCACAAATGGGAGCGCTGAAACAATAGGCCCAGTGTGAAGCCCCACACTTTGCCCCTCTGGCTGCCAGGAGTCTCTAAACAAGCCTCTTTAAATAGAAACGCACCTCCTCTTTATTTGGTGGTGTTGGACGCAGCCGGAGGGCTTTAATGTCCTCAGAAGGCTTGCAAACATGAGCGCATCGTTTACGTTGTGGAGCTGCCCGACAGCAAAGTTTGTACTGGTGACACAGAGGCAGAGAAGCCTGCACGTTCAGGGCCAAGTTGGCTGAAACACGGTGATGTGCGAGCGCTGCAATCATTCCCCGCAGACATCTGGAAGTGTTTTACACCTTTTAGATTGCCCTGGAACGCTCCGGCTCCTCTCAGTTTTCATTCTAAGTCTCTAACCAAAAAATAAATCCTTTCCCTCCAAGAAGAGCAAGCAAATACAAGCAAAATGAGGAGCGTTGCTTCTGAAACTGCAGGGTTTCACATCTGAATACTTTCTTGGGTGCGATCATTAAAATGTCATGAAAACAGCAGCTCCTGTGAGATTCGCCCCAGATGTGTTGGTTTGCTGGAATGCCTCTTCTACATGGAGGCTGCCGATCAGGCCGGCGTTCAGAATAACACCCAAACACTTCAGGAACATCACCAACGAGATCACGAGGAGATGGATCACTAAGATGTGTGGATATTCGGGGGCTTGCTGTCATTATGGAGCAGCTTTTACTCCCATCTGCTGCTTCTTGTTTCCACAAAAAGAGACAAAAACAATCAAATCAGTGGATTCCAGACCTCTCCGACCGCTGATGCTGGAATGTTGCTTTCACACAGCCTCCCTGTCCATCTACAGAACGTTTGGCCCTTGCAGATCTTTGTGGGACTGATAAAACCATCAGAATCCTTTCATTTTAGTGCCACTTATTGGAGCTTCGCTGTCATTGTTTCACCTAGAATTTTATTTTATTTGTTTTAGTTAATTGAAAACTAAACTTCAGATCATTCATCAACACCTGCAACAGATAAGAGAAGGTCTTGGATCTCAGAGCCGACCCAAACGCCTCTCCTTGGCCCTATCCCATCGGTTTGGATCCACGTGGCAGGGGTGAGGAGTGAGCACCACCTCAGCCCTGCCACGTGGACCTCAAGGGATAAACCATCAACACTGCTCAACGGTCATCTTTCCTCACGGGGTCACACCCATGAAGACAGTGGGGGGGGGGGGGGGGGGGGGGTGTAATCAAAACGAATAAAGGTGCAATGCAGCACATCGCCACAGGCTAAACTCTCCCAGAGTTACCACAAGTGCCACCCCAAAAATGTATTCGGCCCCATCTGGCCACCCCTATCAAAATTTTCTGGAGGCGCCCCTGTCGCTCTTCTTTCATTTCTGGATTTAAAAATCTTTCTGCCTTTGAAATCAGCATCAGTATCATATTTTAATACATCCAGGCTACTTGTTGGTGCTTCTCTGTATCAGCAGCACTGACATGTGCAAACATTCATCTTCCTGCTTATTGAAACTTTAAAAAGTTGCTTTCAGTTTTGCCAAACTTCAGTTATGGATGTGTTGGATTAAGTCGGAGCAGCGGGATGTGCGGATCTCCAGACTGCTGTCTCAGTAAATCCTGGATTCAGGGCAAACGGAGCAGATCTGCTCCGTGTTTGAGGTGATTTAAGACCAAATCCATGCTAACATCTCACAAATCCCACTTCTTCTAAACTAAACGTTGAATCGACGGCTCGCCCGTTTCTTTCATCCCATTTGTTTGGGAAACATCGGCTTCTGTGTCCTCGTTGATCCTCATACCTGTTGCTGTAATTACAGGAAACTGAAGCTGGAGAAGGAACTGGCGGGAATGCTGTGGAGGATCCGGTGGGAAGACCTTCAGTTTGAAAGTCCCAATAAATATCACAAACGAGCAGGAAGTCGACTAACCCTCTCACAGGTGAATCGGAGCTCTGTTTTCCCATCATCCTGGACGTTTGACTCGTTTTCCAGTAGGAGGCCCCTGGACGCGCCACGGCCGTAAAATTAGGCCCTGCTGGAATGTAAAACACTAATTGGATCTGTCTAAAGTTGTTTAAACACTCTTGCGCTGCGTGTTAAGATATGGCCACTTGTTTTTCTTAGAAACAGAAAAAAGCTGCAGCCCTGCGAGCGCTCCTAATCCTTTGTGAGTTTACACATTCCTGAGAGCTTTTCCAGCGGTTTGTTGAAGGTGGCCGGGCTTACAGCGGCAGAGACGAATTAAAACCGCGGTTAAAATAAGCTCTGGTCTGGGCCGCGCTCCATTAATGCCTCCGCACGGCCTTCCAGGACCGGGCTCTGTCTTCTGGAGGCTTTGGATTCTGAAACGCTCGAGCACACACCTTTTTCACGACAGCTTTCCAGCCCGGTTCCTGCTGTAGTCTGTGGAAAACAACCTTTAACCCCCAAACTTTGTGTATTTTCCACGCCAGCGTGTATTTAGCTGAGCATGGGGACGGACACAGAAATCTCTGTTTGGGAATTTATGTTGCATTAAGGTGGAATTTGATTCCCAAATGAAGTTTTTTTCTCCTATGTGGACTAACAGACGACTTTTCTTCTCGCTGCTCCCTTCCATCTTCTCAGAGAGGCTCCAGCTACGGCTCCCTGATAACTGCCCATGGAAAATATCAGCTGTTTGCAAAAACCGGCTATTTTAAGGTAAGGCTTAGTGAGTTCTGACATTTTCAACTCCTGCACACACTCCTTCCCCACCCACACACATGTGCACAGAGAAAGCTGGAGAGGCGAGAGGAAGAGAGTGCGTGGGCGAGTTTAGGTAGCTGGTTTTAATGTGAGCTGCAGAATGCGTCAGTTTCTTCTGGTTCTAAACTCCCGCCTCGTAGTCTGGACGCCGCCATCGCATTGTTGCTGCTAATGCATCCGTGTGAGAAGGAGGAGGCGTGAGGAAACGTGACATGAACGCGGCGCTGGAATTAAAGTCTGTTTACAATAGAATGATGCTCGTTATGTATATATGTCATGGGTTTTCCACGGGGAGGTGCAGGTACGACTCTCAAATCCAAGCCAGACCACAGATGATTGAATCCAGAGAACAAATGCAGTTGCACAAGAGCCGTGAAAACGTGCAAATACTGCAAAATCAGCCTTTAATTCTGCAGCAAGATGCAAACACTCAGTATTATCAGCTCCTAACGTGCATTTTGTATTACATAAAGCTTACAGGAACGCAATCAAACGCACAAACGTGCAACCATGTTTGATCATTACAGCAACAGTTTTTACTCCTAGAAGGTCACCGCTGTGGCTCGGAGAAATTGCATCCTTTGTTTACAGCTTCTCAAACAACACACGCGGTTCTCCCTCTGCAGCAGACGGAAATAGGCTCCGCATGCACCTGCAGGCTCAACCCAACGCCGCCTTCCTCCCTTCCACCGTCTCTCTTTGTGCTTTTTGTCGAGCGTGCTGCAGCTCCCTTCTCTCTGAATAAAGACGTTGTCTGCTAACTCTGACTGGTTTCTCTGCTGTTGCATGCAGGGGAACCTGGTGGCCATCAAGCACGTCAACAAGAAGAGGATAGAGCTGACTCGGCAAGTTTTAATGGAACTCAAACATGTAAGACTTTTCATGCTAAATGCCAACATGATTTATTCCTCAATGCAGAAACGATTTGGTCTGAACAAAGTGCAAGTGTTGGTTTTTATTCGGCTCAAATTCATGGATGTTTTATAAAGCTGTAATTGTGACTTTAAGGAATATTAAAGTTCCTGATTCAGATCCCAATAACTTACTATGCTAACTAGGTTAGCGATGGGAATTCCGGCTCTTTCGGCTCCCAAGTGGCTCCTCAGATTTTCTGTTGTGTAGAGTACATTTATCACCAAAATAATGCAAAACTATAAGTAAAATGATTTACTAATGTAAAAAAATGCAAATATCAAATATTTATCACTTCTATGGATTTATTAACTGACCACGTTAAGAAATCTCAACTTTCCGACCGCTGTCGCTCATTTTCTCACCGTCTTCGTCGCATTCATTCCCTCTGGTCTCCCTCCGCCCGGTCTGAGTCTGATCCTCCCTCTTCCCCGCCCCTGCTGCTCTGTGTGTGGACAGTCTGGACACGCAGGTACACATGTAGACCAATCGGCTGTGGCGGGGGATGGGGTGTGTGTGTGTGTGTGTGTGTGTGTGGGGGGGGGGGGGCGGCTCCCGATGACGAGCCGGTGCAGGATCGGCTCGGGGTCCTTCGACTGCCGATGACGTCAGAGTAGTTGATTGGCTGAACATGAAGCTTACGGGATTATCACGTTATGATTCTGATTGGTCAGAACAAACTTGCGGTCGTAGTCTTAGCGGTTGTAGTCCTGTAGTCCAAAAATCAACACTTATTGGAGAAAATGTGTTTGAATTTCTAAAGGAAATGTAAAATATAAGCAAATGATAAACTGTGACCCTCAGAAGCTCTTGATGTTGATGAAATGGGGCAAAATAAAATATAAGAACTTTATTGAAAGACACCAAGCAACATTAAGAGTCAAAGAATGTATTTAGATAACAACTAAGGAAATATACAGACGAACTCCACATGAACACTAACAGATGTGGCTTCACATATAAGAACTGTTTGTTTGTCAGTCCGATGTTGGTTTTATGCAGTTTCACATTCTTTACAAAACAAAGATAACATGGTGTTTTATTAACAAATTACAATTATAAAGAAAACATTTAGGTGATAACAAACAAGAATTTATTAACTAAACTGCTGATGTCTTTCCTAAACGTGTGTGTGAAAGCCGAGTAGATGTGCAGTCATGTGACGTCATCGGCAGTCGAAGGACCCCGAGCCGATCCTGCACCGACACCGGCTCCCGTCGTCCACTTCACAGAGCCGGCCCTTAGAGCCGGTTCGTTCGCGACCGACACATCACCAATCTAGGTAGCTTGGCAAGCTAACAACAAGCTAGATTTTTCGCAACTTTCAGAAGATCTGAACAGCTTGATGCTGACTTACAATCAGATGGAAACTCGTTATTAGCTGCTTTATTTGGTTTGGGCCGACTAGAAGGGTAAAATGGGTCAAACAGCCAAAATGTGCAAAACTCTTATATGAAGAAGATGAGTTTAAATAAATGTGGCTGCTTTTCCTACACCATCAACAAGAGTACCTGAAAGAAATAAACATTTATTGGTAGTATTTTCCCAGTTGCTATGAATGGATTCACCCTTTCGGTTTTTACGATGTACAAGATTTCGTCTGACAGCATGTTAGCTTTTGTTTGGAGACGAGAAACGGACTCGTGTCTGAATGTGGATTTTTTCTGACTCAGCGTGACAGCAGAGGTGTCGCTCACTATCTTTCATGTCAGAAGCCTTTTATTAACATCTTTACCGGAGAGCCGCGAGGCGCTGCAGCTTGTTTTTCATAACAAAACGGGAACGTCCTCAACCTGATATCGGCCACAGCAGCTGCTGAGGTAAAACCTCCTTCAGGCTGGGAAATATTTACGAGTAAGCGATAAGAAGGCTGAAAACTCCCAAGTAAATGCGGTTTGGTGATGGAAGCAGAATGGCACGGGGGGGGGGGGGGGGGGGGGGGGGGGATTCCTTGTGTTCTATTAGATCAGGGGTGTCCAATCCTGGTCCTCGAGGGCCAGTATCCAGCACGTTTTCGTTTAACCTGCTGCAACACACCTGATTTCAATCAGCAGGTGATTAACAGGCTTCTGCAGAGCCCGATGAGCTGCGGCACAGGTGATTCAACCAGCTAATCAAGCGTGTTGAAGCAGAAAAACCACAAAACCTGCTGGTTACCGGCCCTCCAGAACCGGGATTAGACACCCCTGAATTAGATTCAACTCAAGTTTATTTATAAAGCGCCAAATCACGACAAGAGTCGTCTCGAGGACCTTCACACAGTAAACACTCCAATCCAGGTCAGGTCATTGAGCCAATCAGTAAAAAGTTTCCTACATAAGGAACCCAGCAGGTCGCATCGAGTCACTGACTAGTGTCAGAGTCTTTACAGCAACCCTCATACTAAGCAAGCATGCAGCGACAGTGGAGAGGAAAACTCCCTTTTAACAGGAAGAAACCTCCAGAGGACCCTGGAGGTTTCCTGAGTTGGGAATGAGACCGGCAGGCGTGGACTGGATGGATGCTGGTGGAGAAGACTTTTGGCTATTTTCTTTTACATTTAATCTACAGCAGTCTAGTTAGATTCTGGGTCTCGGCACAGAATTATGGGTCATTTTGTGTGAGCTGCAGTCCGCTGGAGGGGAGCGGTTAGTGGCCACCGGTCAGCAGGCTGCTGTCAGAGTTGGCAGCTTTTAGATACCCCGGCGGCCTGATCGCCTGTCAAACCTCAGCTCACCAAAAAGCCAACCAGATGGAGGAAGAGACGGGCCTGCCAGAGGAAACTTAACTGCTTCTCTTCCAGGGAGCAGCAGGGGAACATATATGAGCCAAAAGGCAGGCTAACAGCATCTCCTGAGTCATGAAACAGGAGCCAGCGACGCTCGGAGTGACAGCGACTGTCACTTACAGAAGGAAGGAGCTGTGTTGAAACGATGTTCAGCGCTTTAGCGGTTAAAGGCTGGCTGCAGACTCCTGTGCTCACGCGCTCTGTCAGCGTTTCTGTGTGGAGGAATGAAAGCAGGAGGATTGTGCTGCTTGTTGCTACAAAAGAACATTTCACACGTTCTTAAGGACAGAATCCAGCAGCAAATGTCCCTCCTGAATCTCTTGACCTCAAACATCTGCGCCGCCGCTCGTATTTTATTAGATGTTTCACGTTTCTGCTTCAGGAAGACCAGAGTGACTGGAGACTTTTTCTCTGGTGGAGAAGATCTACTCCTCCTGCTAAAGAGCGGATCTTTTAATCCTCCCCAGCACACTGGCCCATTCATAACCTCCGAAGGGCGATTCATGCGTTACGTGCGCGCGTGTCAACGGTGAGCGGCGCCGCAGCTCGACACAGCGAACGGCACAAGCAGGTCGACTGCAAACAGACGGCTCTGCTGAAAGGTTGGCAGCGTTAATCCAAAACCGGGTGCACAAATGAAGCGTCAGTCCTCTGTTTCCATGGAGTTTGGGAATGTGATGGTTGGAAAGCACGGAGCTAACAGTTGCCATGTGTTTGTGTGGTTGTTTTCAGATGAGAGACGTTCAGTTCAACCATCTGACCAGGTTCATCGGGGCCTGCATCGACCCTCCCAACATCTGTATCGTAACAGAGTACTGCCCCCGGGGCAGCCTGCAGGTAACATCTGCAGATCACATTTGAATCATAACCCAGTTAGTGTTAAACGTTTTTATGGTGCAGACTGATTTAGTTTTACTAGAATGCTGTTTTATCTCTGCTTCCTACGGAAGCGTATGTGTAGCAAAAATCATGTTTTTACGCAGTCGCAGAAATGATATTTCATTTTCATATCACCACTGCTGTGTTTCTTATTTACTGGACTAATGGATAAGCTCAATATTTCTTAGAGTTTAATGTTTTCTTCATCCACGTGTGCTGAAAAATCATCCGTCAGAGGAAACAGAAAACAGTTACGATTGTTGGAAAATGCACAACCACGCTCAGAATGTTACTGATAACAGACACGCTGATTTGCTATCAGTTTTTTTACATATTTTCATCTTGTTTTCCAAAGTATTTAGAGACAAACGGTAAACACGTCCAGGGCGTTTTCCTGGTTTTTAAAAGTGTTACGGCGGTAGGAGTGAGCGCAGCAGGAGCCCGACGCTTGAGCTGCTTTTGTGGCGTGTTCTCCGCCCACTCTCGGTGTCGGTACAGCATCGGCTCGGGGACCTTCGACTGCCGACGACATCAAAGTAGTTGATTGGCTGAACATGAACCTTACGGAAGTTACGTAATCACGTTACGTTGTTAACACGTTACGTTGGCCCAGGCAAATGTTTCTGTTGGAAAGATGGACAACTTTTACAAAGAAATCCATCATTACCTCTTTATACACTTTTAGCATAGAGCTGCATGTATATTAGGGCTGAAAGATTAATTGCATGTGCAATTAAATTGCGATGTGACAAAAGGAGATTTTCTAATCGCAAAGGCTGCAATTTGGCAGCGAGTGGTTAGCGCAATGCTAATATTCATGGAAAAACCCATAGAAATGCTAATGCTAATATCGCCGATTACATTATTACAAATTATGAATTAGAAACGTGCCAAATGATTACATTTGGAGTCTAATAGAAAGTAAAACTACCATCAATCAAATAAGTACAGACAGGTATTTTAGTAAAGCCAGAAAACTTTTAACTCCAGAGTTTTGGCTAGCAGCTATGAGCGTAAATGAACTACGCATGGACAAGACGTCAAAAACTCTAAACACAAAATACTTCAATAAACGGGACACACTTCTTTCCTGCAAATACAATTTCACAGGTGTTGCTAATACCTATGATCCTTCAAGGGATGTGCTCAAAGAGGATCAACATTATTAATAAAATAGTGTTTTATTTTACAAATACCATTATAAACACAAACTTACGTCTTAAGAAACATTATTTTAATAACGAAACTGCTAAATTCTTTCCAACAGTATAGATGTGTAGTGTATTTTGTCCGAGTGGGTTTGCCGTACTTTGACGTCATCGGCAGTCGAAGGACCCCGAGCCGATCTTGCACCCGAGCAGATCCTGTACTGACACCAGCACCGTTGGTGAGTGTGAGGCAGATCGACTGATAGCGACTTACCGTAATAAAACTTCTCTTCCTTCAAAAACCGTTGGAGTTTTTCTGATGACACAAACTGTTGTAGAATCGCAGTAAATCAAAGTAAGCCTTTCGGCTTAGTTCGGTGTTAAGCTCCATTCATGCCGAGGAACGCGGGTCAGAATCTGTGTGGCTGCACAGTGGAGCAGATCGGGATGGGGAGCTGCTGAATCTTCTTGCATGGTGTCCATTTCTTCCAGAAACCGCATGAGGACCACCGTGAAGTTGAAGAAGTTGCACGAGCCATAGAAAGTGAGAAGTGTGGCAGCTAGGGGCATCCGGTTTATTTTGAGATAAAACCCGTGTTGCGTCGCCACTTTTGTTGTTACCAATGACAGCGATGTTAGTTGGAGGAGATGAGTGTGGCTTCGTTTACCAGCTCCTTTCAGGAGCAACTTTGCGGAGATGTTCTGTACACGATCCAGTCTGTAAACGGCAGTCCGTCCGGAAGCCACGCAGGTTCTGGTCCGCGTCTGTTTGCACTTGGAGTGAACGTGGCGGTAGAGCGGTGTTTGTCCGCGAGGTCGGCACGGCTCCGCGTGGCGAAATTGTGTCATTTTAACAACCACGCCCCTCTACCGCGCCTCCGCACGGCCCAAAATTTACGCACTGCGCACCTAGGAAATTTTCTAACCACACGGACGGTCGGACGCGGAAAAACTTGGCGGACCGGCAAGAACTAGTATGGCAGAAGTTCATAATAATAATTCTTGGAGAGAAATAGCTCGCACTGTCGGAAAAGACGAGGATGCTGTTAAAAATGCTGGAATGCCATGTTGTAAACAGTAATTTCTACTTCTACTATGGTGTAGTGTTGGATGCATGCCGTAGAGCTCCATACTGCCCCCTACAGTTTGGGAGAATATTGGCTCACCGCAGAGACGAGCCGCACGAACCATAAACGCTGCGAGTTGTGAAGCGCGTTCCCTCCGTGAGCCGCATCACCAAGCGGAAAGTAAACACGTCAAGCATAAACCAAGCTTTAGTCCCTACACCCCCAGCAGGTCCCTGAGGTCCAGTGACCAAAGCCTACTGGTTGTGCAGCACCAGGTTAAAGGTCAAAGGTGACAGATCATCTGCTGCTGTGGCCCCCAGACTCTGGAACTCTCTCCCCCTGAGCCTGAGATCAGTGGACTCAGTGGTCTCCTTTAAAAAGCAGCTGAAGACTCACTTGTTCAAGCTGGCTTTTGTATGACCTTCTTCACCACTCTCTCTTTATTCTGCTCTCCCCACCTGTTCCACCTTCCTCAGGATCCACTGGTTTCCCTCTTTCCTGTTCACTCTCTCTCTTTCTTAACATTTTTTTAATCACAATTGTTTAGTTTTTGCTCATTTAAAATATAGTTTTAACCATTTTCTAAATGCTTTTTTAAAATTTAAATTTTTTTGTTTTTGTGAAGCGCCTCCTGATTTTTATCTTGAGAGGCCCTATAGAATGATACTTTCTACTTCTGTAGATTTCATTAGAGTATTAGCTTCTAGTGTTTTGATGTTATGATGTCATTTCCTGACATGTTTGTAAATGTTACAGTACATTGCAAATATAGCGCTGTAGCTTGATCTGAAGAAAATCGTGAATCGAGTTGAAATCAGAATTTCTGCCAGAAATGTTGTAAATCAGTCGTTTCCTAAAATCAGCAACAGACGGGCTCCTGGTTAGGGTTAGGTTCTGGTGGTGTTCATAAACTTTATTCACAGAAACACTGAGATGGAGTCTATTTTCAGAAGAGCTTTCTATGCTTTGAACCGCGTTGTTTTTCACAGCAGACGCTAACCCGACAATCTACTTTTGCTGGAAATGGCCCGTGTGTGTTTAATTCAATTCAAGTTTATTTATAAAGCGCCAAATCACGACAAGAGTAATCTCAAGGCACTTCCCATAATAAACATTCCAATTCAGGTCAGTTCATTAAGCCAATCAGAAGATTGCATCAAGTCACTGACTAGTGTCAGTGACTTGATGCAATCACTTACTTTGATTTACTGTGATTTAGCGCCTTCTCAGGCTTCTACAGCCCCCCAAGGCACTTCACAATACGATGTAGCCACAGCTGCTCTGGGGCGCGCGGACAGCGGCGCCACCGGTCCCTCAGACCACCAGCAGCAGCAGGCAAGGCGGGTTAAGTGTCTTGCCCAAAGACACAACAGCAGTAGGAGCTGGGATCAAACCTGCAACCTTCTGATTACTGGACAACCCACTCCACCTCCTCAGCTACCGCTGTCCCGACGTGATGACATTTATTTTGAACTGATGAGAAGTTCTCCGTGTTATAATCAAACTGGTTCTTGGCCTCCTGACTTTAACGAACACGGAGGAGGCGGGACTTCATCAGCCTGACTCTGCGCAGGACATTTAGGCAGATTTGATGTAGCTGGATGTCAAAGCCGGACCTAGATTCCAGGAAGGGGGCCAGATTCGGGGCCTTTGACTCGTTCGTTTATCTCCGGCTGAGCGTGAAGCATGAAGATGACCAGAACAGAGAAGTGCTGGTTCTGCTTATCCTCCTTGAAGACATTATTTTGCAGAACTGAGTTGATGAGAAGTTACAAGAGATGAAATGTTCCTACAGTTTTGCATCTGCCCTTGCTTTTCAGGACATTCTGGAGAACGAGAGCATAAACCTGGACTGGATGTTCCGCTACTCGCTGATCAATGACATAGTGAAGGTAAGTGGCCTTCAGGCCGAACGCACAGCTAGCAAACAACCCAGATGTCCACGGCGGATTATTGATTCATATCACGAACGCCGGCAGAAGCTTGCTTCTTACAGATGTGCACAGATTTGTCCTGGTTGCCATGGTTTCACATGGACAGGAAGTCGACAGAGGCAGAAAAGGAAAAAATCAGATCTTCAGCTGAGTGTTCAGCAGGAAACTACAGTTATTAAAGCTAAAACGCCGTCAAATGTGTTGCTGAAGTTCAATCGGAGCCGGTCGTGGATAACGAAGCAGCTTCTTTGTAATCTCTACGAACAAAGACGGCTTTTAGTCAGGAGCTGGACGACATGCACGGCTGAGCGCTTTGGTTAGACCGGTCCACACTGATAGAAATGTTCTGCAGAGAAGATGTTTGACTCACTGTTTCCACCAAGTTGAACACGAGAGCAGCGAGGACTCGCCTTCCCTTTCCCAAAGGAATGAACGGTAGTTTCACTGAAATGACTGAGCCGCCCTTCAGACTCCTGCAGCAAATTTAAACCTGCCAGGCTGCATTATTTCCATTTGTTTGTTGCTTTGATGAAGAGAAAAAAAGAGCAGTTTTAATGCTTCGCTTTTCTGCACCAGGGAATGAACTATCTCCACAACAGCTACTTCGGCTGCCACGGAAATCTGAAGTCATCTAATTGCGTGGTGGACAGTCGATTTGTTCTGAAAATTACGGATTATGGCTTGGCCAGCTTCCGCTCATCCTGCGAGAATGACGACTCGCACGCCCTCTATGCAAGTAAGTCTATTTCCTGTTTTCAATCCCAAACCCGTCGGCTCGTTGTTTATTTGTTGTTGTTTTTTTCTCCACTCAGAAAAGCTTTGGACAGCTCCTGAGCTGCTCATTTACGACCGCCACCCCCCTCAGGGGACTCAGAAGGGTGATGTGTACAGCTTTGGCATCATTCTACAGGAAATAGCTCTGAGGAATGGACCTTTCTATGTGGAAGGCATGGACCTCAGCCCTAAAGGTAAACACCAGCCTTCTTCAAAAGCATCTCAAGGACTGAAATGACCAATTTCACTTAATATGGTAAATGAACTGTATTTGATATAGCGACTTCTAGAGTCCTGGAACCCCCCAAGGCGCTTTACAACACAACCACTCATTCACCCATTCACACACACATTCACACACTGGTGGGGATGAGCTACGATGTAGCCACAGCTGCCCTGGGGCGCACTGACAGAGGCACCACCGGTCCCTCCGACCACCACCATCAGGCAAAGTGGCTTAAGTGTCTTGCCCAAGGACACAACGACAGCGACAGACTGAGCTGGGCTCAAACCTGCAACCTTCCGATTACGGGGCGAGCGTTTAACTCCTGTGCCACCGTCGCCCAAATTCATCTGCTATAAATCTGCACATTAACATGGTAGGCATGCACACCAAAGACGAAGGAAGGACGCTGAGAAATCTGTGCAAATGCAAAAACACGGAAAATAAGCGGGGTCCTTCCACCGCGACAGAATTCAAGCTGTGTGCTTTTCACTGGCGTTTGAGAATGGAGCTCTGTGAGGTCAAACTACTTTATATTCTCTGGCAGACATGCACTGAAGCCAAGAACACATGATGACCAGACGCCCAATCAGGTGGAGTCCCACAAGCTAGCACAGGTCGTACCCGAGACATAAAAACTGGATCGTATCAAACGACGACAACAATCCAGGCCAAACCATCAGTAGGGATGAGCATTGTTGACGAGTACGAGCATAAAACAAGTAAAACCCGTGAATATCTGCGTCTGTGCTGAAGGAAAATCCTGACTGTCTTCACGCTCTGTGATTGGCCAGTCACATAGAGTGCCCGCCCCTCCCTACACACAAAAGCAACAGACGACCCGGCCCGCAGCTGCTGTCCCACACACACACACACACACACACACACACATACACTGGTACACGGTTGGAGTGGATGGTTTTCAACACGAGCCACAGATCTAAGTTGTTATGAAAACTTAGTGGAACCTAGCTGCACTAGTAAGCGTCTACGGAGCCAGCTCTGGCGTGAGTTAACGTGACGAGCAGCTCCTGTCTAACGGGGACGGCGGGCGGAACAGGACCCGACTGGGGAGATTCCCCGTGGGCCGGTCTGGTCGGTGTTTTGGGCCGGTGTTGACCCGTGGTACGCCGACGGTCACCTGCTGCTGATGAGAGGATTTCTCCTGTCAGTGTGGAAGGACCAGGTGAGCTGCAGCCAATGAGCTTTTATTAGAAACACTTTGTATGCCCAGGCTGCAGTGACCTGTTATTTACAGTTTATAATTAATATTAAGTGAATGCACAAAACCCACAAGTGATGTAAAATTAGATTAAATACGCCTGAATATTTTCTACCTTCCAACAAATTTGATTATAAGATTTATGGAAAGAAGAGTAGTTATGATTCGAAAGGCAATCAAATACACACGATACCAAAACAGGATAAATATAAAGGAACGTTGTGTATCCATGTATGGAGACAAAATGTGGAATAAATTAAGTACCGAAATCAAGAATACCAAAACAATAAATACCTTTAATAAACATCAAAAATGAAACGCTTCGCTTATATGATGCTATGAGATGAACGTATTTATGAAGTAGAGAGAATGAAGGGAAAACACACATTGTTTGTTCTACTTTGTTTCATTTTAACTATTTTTGTGTGCGTGTTGTTTTGCATTGATTGTTTTCTCCTTTCATTAATATAAGAAGAAAAAAATATTTTTGGGCATTTTTATTTTCTCTCCATTTTTTTCCAAAGTTAAAACGGTAAACCAGGTCAGACATTTTTTTAACTATAATAACTTTGTTTGTTGTTCATTTTCTGTTGTCGCAAACCTATTTTGTTTTTATTTGTGAATAAATGAAGATAAACTTTAGAAAAAAAAAACTCAAGCCTGGAGGAGTTCTGCTGAGTGGTGACGTCTCTGACGTCAGAGACGTCCTCTGCTGTTTCCTGGACGCTGAACCAACAACAGCCTTCCCCGTCGTGAGTCCAGATGGGTGAGTGCATGAATGTTAGTGACAGGGTGACGTAGATCTGTCAGGATTTTCTAATCCTTTGAGTTTCACCGTCTGTTTTCTATCAGAAGCTAATGCAGGAGACAGGTGTAGGAGACTATTTTCACGTTCAGGCTGCGTGAAACTCCCAGACAGAGCCGTTAGAATCAGAAATAATGATTAAAAAATTTTTCAGTGGCGAACCTCTCTAATAATCCACAACAATAGCAACAAAGGAGATAATACACAGCAATAATGATGAGGCTCAACAATAATAAATGATTAAAAAACATCATAAGGTGGCATCACACCCAGGATCCTGAAAACCTGTGCCTGCCAGCTGTCTCCTGTACTGGGTCATCTGTACAACCTGAGTCTGAGTCACAGAAAATCCCAGGACTATGGAAGACATCCAGCCTGGTTCATCCCATGTGATGAAGGTCCTGAAGAGACTTGTCTTAGCCCAGCTGAGGCCGCAAGTGAGGATGTCTCAGGACCTCCTACAGTTAGCATACAAGCCACCTTAATATTTAATCAACAGCACCTCTCTGTAGTTCCTGTTCTACATAACACTAATGTAACTGATCATTGTCCAAATAATATTCTTACTGATGAAATTTGAAAAGTTATGAACAAGTAGAAATTACATTTAAGTAATGAGTCATCTTCATAATAACAACTGCACTAGTAGGAATTAATTCATGAAGGTGTCTCCATCCTTCAGTGCTAACCCTGACCGATTATCAACAGTTAAACCTCTGTCTTTTTGCAGAAACTCAAAAAAGGCTATCAGGCAAATATAATTAAAGGTGCGGTTGACTGAAAAAACATTTTAATGGTTATTTCTGATTATAATCTGAGTAATCAGAGAGTTTCATGCAGGCTGAAAATGAAAATAGTCTCCTACACCTATCTCCTGCAGTAGCTTCTGATAGAAAACAGACGGTGAAACTCAAAGGATTAGAAAATCCTGACAGATCTACGTCACACTGTCACTAACATTCATGGACTCGCCCATATGGACTCATGACGGGGAAGACTGTTGTTGGTTTAGCGTCCAGGAAACAGCAGAGAACGTCTTGACTAGTAGACGCTAACCATTAGCATTAACAATTCCACCACACAGCAGAACTCCTCCATGCTTGTCTGATTTGTGGAGAGGAAACATCAACGCTGCAGAGCAAACAGAGTCGCTGGTAGAGTGAAGTTTTCTAAGCAAAATCTCTGAAAAGGAACAAAAGATATTTCAGGGGTTCAAAACCTTGCTAGAACGTAATCATGCCTTTCATCAGTAATTTATAGGATGTGTGTGTGATTTATATGTTAATACAGATGTGAAATCAATTCATGTAAAATTATCGTGAAACCGTGATTATTTCTCAGACTGTAACCGTTCCACCAACGGTTATAATCGCTGCAACCCCATGTGGAAGAAGTGGAGAACTACAGCTACCTGAGTGTTGTGATAAAACAACAGACTGGACTGGGCTTCTAACACGGAGGCTGTGTACAAGACGGGATTGAGCAGACTCTACTTCTCGCAGAAGTTGAGATTCTTCTATGTGTGCAGCAAGATGTTGGAGATCTTTTACCAGTCTGTTGTTGCCAGCGGCTTCTTCGTTGCTGTTGTGTGTTGGGGCAGTAGCATCAGAGTCAGTGACACTACTTAATAACACCATTAGGAAGGCTGGCTCTGTACTTGGTCTCAGACTGGACACCTTGGAGACCGTGGTGGAGACGAAGATGCTGAATAAACCTTTATCCATAGTGGACCATGACTAGCACCTCCTCCATTACACAGTAGACAGACAGGCTGCTACAGCTCCGCGGTGGAAGGGAAAGATCCAGGAAGTCTTTCCAACCATATGCCATCACATTGTACAATAGCAACAACTAAAATCTGGTTCATAATATACAGTTGGTGTGCTTTCACGTTTTATACTTAATGGCCTTTTTTATATTGCTATTGTTTTTAACTGTCTTAATGTGTGCAATGCTGCTGCTACACTGCAATTTCCCAGCCTCGGGTCAATAAAGTCCATCCATCCATAAGAATAAGCATCTGTAACAATGCACAATAACAACGATAAACAACTATAACCATGCAAAATAGAAAATAAAAAGAGGTTGACTTTTACAGCTTGAAACAAATGTGCTTCCTATTTTTATTTGTAAGCATCAAGTTTATTTCTCCAGCACAATAAAGCCCAGGACACCGTACTGAAGAACACATCAAGGTCCATTCAACTTAGCCCAAGTGCCTGGAGTTAGCTTTAACATACCTTACTAGCATTAGCATCCTAAATAAAATAGCCTTTTGCACGTAAGTTGGACATTGCACTTTGACCAGTTTCTTTTCCAGACCCCACTCTTACGGGCAAAAATCCAACCTAGGAATGACTGAAGGAGAAACTGTACCAAAAAATCAATTAACACACTGAGAGTGTAAAACCCTCCTGGGTGTTTCCTCCAGGTGATTTGTTTGATTATAATCTTTTATTCACAGTCATGCTTGGTGCTGATTGCTCAAGAGGATGCTACTTATCCATCATCAGACTGAGGGCAGTTCAAGCTAACACCTGTTCTCCACTGTTTTTATGTAAAAACAGCATTATACTAAATATAAACTACTAATAACAGCCTATTAACAGGCTATCGGGACTCTTGATGGTATTCAGAAAGGGTTAGAGAGAGAGAAAAGGGCTTTTACAAAGCTCAGCTACATTTGAATGAAAGAGGGAACATCTGCGCTAACAAACAGCTGAATATTAATCACAACATTAACAAAAATATAATGCCACACAATATTAGCAATATTCATAAATACACGTGCCTTTGTGTTTTAGCTTTTTTCAGCAGAACATCCGCTGCACTTAAAGTCAGAAAAAGAGATAAAGACGTCCCACCGAAGGAGTTACCAGCTGTTCGTTAGCATGATCAGAGCGGCAGCCAGTTGTAATTAATCTCAAAACCAATCAGTCAAGAAAGTGAAAGAAAAACAAGTTTATTGCATAAGAACACAGTTAGAACACGTAAAATATTCTTGATGTTTCTAACTGATGTAGAAGTGGGGGTTTGTCCTTTTTTTTACAGCTAGCTTAATTTTTTAGCTAATCTTATCTTAGCTAATGCTAGCCTAGCTGGATCCTGGGAGAAACATCTGCATTTGTCTGAAAATGATTATATATATCAAATCTTTATTGGGAGAGATGGAGTGATGACAGGAATTCCAATTAACTTTTTGAGGCAGGAAAGTTTTTAGCGATTTTGAACAAAAGTCAATAAGTTATTTTACACTAACATGACAATTTAAAATCACTAAATTTACAAATAATAAAGGGTTTTGGTGATGTTATCAACATCTTTGATCAAAAACATATTTTATGTCATCAAAACTTAACTTTTTGTATGTTAACAAGTTAGCTGAAGACTTTTATGTTTATTTACATTATTTAGCATCAAATCATCAAGTCTTTAAAATATGCGTGTTGGTGTTCTGATTCTGGACGTTTCTGCGTCCCTTCAGAGATCATCCAGAAGGTGAGAAATGGTCAGAAGCCATACTTTCGGCCAATAACAGATAACAGATGCCACCCAGAGGAGCTGACGATACTGATGGAGGGCTGCTGGGCAGAGGACCCCGCAGAGAGACCCGACTTTGGCCACATTAAAATCTACATGGCCAAACTCAACAAGTAAGACCACACTTCTATTCTCACGTCAATCTAAAGATGTTTTCATTTAAAGGATTAACTCACCTAACAAAACCGTTAAAATGGCAGAAACCTTCAACAGGCAGGGGCTGTTTTATTTAATTTGACTCAAATTTATGCAATGTTGACCATTAAAGTGTGAAAGTAAACCAACTCCAAAGCACAGAACGATTTCTTAATGTAACATTTGCTGTGTTTTCCATCTCCCTCAGATCTGAGATAATTGGACAAATTGAGAATGACAGAGCCCCCCTGGCCAAACTATCACTCTGTCCTGCCAAGTCCGATATGTGAGCGCAGAACCCTGTGTTCCTCCGACTGCTCTGATAGTCAATGCGTTTAGTCATTTTGAAAGAGCAAACAGGAAGAGTCATGTTCAAATAATCACTCAAACAACCTCAGAGATAAATGTCTGTGAAGGTTCTCAGTCATCCAGGTCATTGTAGTCTAAGGAGCTTTGAAAGAAAAGCGTCTGGACTTCTTTGAGCTGCTTGAAGACGTTTCAACTCTCATCCGAGAGGCTTCTTCAGTTCTAAGGTCAAATGGCGGAGAGTCCCAGATTTAAACCCAGTGGGAGTTTCTCCCCGAAGAGGGAACAAAAGACCCCCTGATGATCTTCTACATAAACACATGAGCCAAGGTGTGAGGGTGGGTGTGGGTCCCATTCAGCCAGAGTTTCGAAACTCACACCTTGGCTCATGTGTTTATGTAGAAGATCATCAGGGGGTCTTTTGTTCCCTCTTCGGGTAGAAACTCCCACTGGGTTTAAATCTGGGACTCTCCACCATTTGACCTTAGAACTGAGGAAGCCTCTCGGATGAGAGGTGAAACGTCTTCAAGCAACTCAAAGAAGTCCAGACGCTTTTCTTTCAAAGCTCATTAGACCTCAGAGATAAATGTTTGTTTGTGATTGCTGACAGGCAGACAGGAAGTGCTGTCTTTGAGTCTGCTTCCCTCCATGAGAGCAAGTGTGCTTGTGTAAGAAACAAAAGTTTGAGCCCGTGTTTCTGTTCCTGCTATTGTTTTCGATGATCTTATGAATCGTTCATGTGCACATTTTGGTTGGACGTTTAAGTTAATGCAGGAGGGGAGGCCTGCATGTTCCTCTGAGTGTGACAGACCTGTCAGAAAGGATTGCTGTAAGGATCTGGGCTGTGACACTAAAGCAGACACGTAACAGAACCCAAACACAGCGTTTGCCGTTTGAATCTGTTTCAGAAAAGAAACACAAACAGTAAATGTACATAAAGCTGGAGATCAGTGATTAATCAAGAGATCAGTGATTAATCAAGTACTCGGTTAATCTGTGAAACAACAGTTATTTCAAACATTTTACTCTAGAAGAAGAAGAAGAAAAGATGTTTTCTATAGCGCCTCTCAAGATAAAAATCACGAGGCGCTTCACAAAAACAAAAAACGTAAAACTATAAAAAATCATTTAGAATATGATTAAAATATATTTTTAATAAACAAAAAATAGACAATTGTGATTTAAAATAAATGTTAAGAAAGAGAGAGAGTGAACAGGAAAGAGGGAAATCAGTGGATCCTGAGGAAGGTGGAATAGGTGGGGAGAGCAGAATAAAGAGAGAGAGGTGAAGAAGGTCATACAAAAGCCAGCCTGAACAAGTGAATCTTCAGCTGCTTTTTAAAGGAGACCACTGAGTCCACTGATCTCAGGCTCAGGGGGAGAGAGTTCCAGAGTTTGGGGGCCACAGCAGCAGATGATCTGTCACCTTTGACCTTTAGCCTGTTGCTGCACAACCAGTAGGCTTTGATCACTGGACCTCAGGGACCTGCTGGGGGTGTAGGGACTAAGAAGATCACCAATGTAAGATGGTGCTTGTCCATGTAAGGCCCTATAGACCAGAACCAGGATCTTGAAATGAACCCTGAAGTTGACTGGCAGCCAGTGAAGCTGGAGGAGAAGCGGGGTGATGTGGGTGTGTTTGGAGACTTCCAACTTGTGCTGAGAATAGAAGCTCTGCCTTCCCCTTTTTAACTCATTGGTCTATGAATGTTGGACGGAAAAGTGACTTACGCCTCATGATCAACCACCATCCCAGGGCTAGACTACTGTTTGAACCTGTCTCATGCTGGTCTCACTGTAAGGACTGACTTGGTTTTCATCGCAAACACCTTGATTGTTCTTGATGTTCTGCTTGAATGTTTGATATCGTCCCAAGAATCTTTGTATTTTTCTTCGTATGTCACACACAGCATTTCCTTATCATGATGTCCGACAGTAATAACTGTCCCTTTGAAACACGGGGGGTGTTTCTCAATGCCAAGGAACCTTGCCTTGATGTCATGGCCCCGCCCCGATTGCCTAGGAGATACGACATCGGGAGCCGCAAAGACTTGTTCCAATGTTCATGTTCTACCGAGGCGTGTGTTCTCCGTTTGTTAGCCGTTTAGCTAGCTGAGCGAGGATACACGGGAGGTGTCTATTAGCCTAGCCTTGGTCAAAGACTACCCACAATACACCGCAGTATTTTCAAAAGGATGGCGGATAGGAAGCCGGCAGCTACTTCAGGAACAATTTTCAAGTTTAAAAGTAAGTCAGCTAATTTAAAATGTTTTTTTTAGATCCAAAGAAGTTATCCATGGTTGGTTAGTAGCTTAGTAGTTGCAGCTTCGGTGGCTAGCGGGTAGTAACTCGCTTAAATTTTTAATTTAATAAACATATACACAATTTAAAAAGTAAAAGTCTCATTATATATTTATATTGAAACTAATACGTATAAAATATAACGTTATCTCCCGTGTCACGTGACGTTATGTGACCGCCAAGGAAGCTGCGGTCACGTGATGCAAGTCTGTTCCATTTAACAGTTTTCTTTGACCAAAGAAGGACCGTGTCCTCGTAAGCAAGACGCCTTGCCTCACAAGACATCGCCTCATAAGGCCAGGCGCCCTGACACTGAGAAACACCCGGGATCTCTAAGCATCAAGCTGTGGTTCACGTGAGGCATAACCAAAATTATTTAGACTTGAGAACTATTTGTAAGTCGTTTGGTGATTCATTTCAACCTTACAGCTGAGAAGTATTACAACCTCTGATTTTTACTGTTAGATTGATAGATGGAGTATTAGGATTATCACCTTCATCAGCAACCAGCCATACCCAGCCCTGTACGTGTCTACTGCCCTCAGATGAGGGACATAAATGTGGGAAAGGCCTATTTTATTTCTTTATTACTGTTATGTTGTTGTAGAATGACATTATTAAATGCAAAGCAGATGTTTATATAGTTGTATTAACATTAGACAAAAGGATTAATGCAGAAACAGGACAGAAAAGCAACAATATAAGTTACTAAATGATTAATCAGTAAATGTGTTTCATCATGATTGTGTGGGAGTATTTGAACAAGGCAGACAGTGACTGAGAAACCCACTCATTGCCATGACCTATAAAGATAACCACATTCGAGTGCCTGAAATGTGACTGTTCAAATTTATTCACTACAATGTGCAAATTCCACAGTTGGGTAACAGAACATTTCTGGGAAATCCTCAGTTTTTGTTCCAAAGAGGAAAAAAGATTTTTCTGTTACTTTTGAAAACAAAAAACATCGACTTTGACTCCGACCCTGTCACTCATAGCTAAAGACACATTAAAATATGTTGCAGGGCTTTATAAACAGCATTTTAAGAATAAGTACGTGAATTATATTTACATATACACAATTAAAATAAATATTTCCTCAGTTTAGAGGTTTGCTATGCTCAAGGAGGCTGAATGAAGAATACATTTTAAAAAATGATTGCTTACAAACAAATAAATGTGTTCAGTTTTTGGTGTCCAGTGAAGTTTGACTTGACAACAAACGATGGCGGATTTGAATCATTTGTGCTTTAGATGCTTTGATCTTGATTATGTTCAATTCAACTCAAATTCAATTCAAAGATACTTTATTAATCCCAGAGGGAAATTAGAGTTTCAGTACACACAATTCAGACGTACATACATAGACATAGACACATGACAAGAATTGGTGACTGTGGTCATTCGCAACCCGAGTTGCGCTACTTTAATAGAGATCAGAGGGTTTATATGAGGATTGGGTCAGGTGGAGGAAAAAAGGGCACTTCAGAGTTACCCTCCACTGGGAGGGCAGCTTTGCTCTGCAAAAAAACACCTCAGACAGAAATGCAACAGACTTCAGACAACACACAACATAAGTGTCCACTAGGTGGGGAGGTAGGGTTGGGGACTCTCCTCACATCAGTGCATGCAGCCGCGATAAGCAGCGCTCATCACCTCCGTTTGGAAGGGGGGGGGGGGGGGGGGGTATTTGGGTTAGAGAGCACAGTGACTCCTGGAAACGATTCAACGGCCTTCACCGGTCGCAGTCCCGCCCAGGCTGGGATAGGGAGACAGAGTTGCCATGGCGACAGCAGCATTCCACATTTCTTCTGAGGGGGAGTTTACACTTCATCCTCACAGGCTCAAGGGCACCAGATTCAGATAAGAACTTGTTTTGGGACCAGACAGAGGTAATTTCCTCTCTGTCTTAAAGTTCTGTTGATCTCCAACCCCTCTGAATCCAATAACGGCGTAATTAATCTATCCCAATCCGTGCTGATCCGTCCACTTTCTTCTTGATCGAATCCACCTTCTGTGCCAGAACCTGAATCTCAGCCAAAGTTCCAAGCTTACGACTCATCTCGACAATTATATGAGTTTGTGCGCTCACAACACGGTGTAATCCATCCCTGAGCGCCGGGATTGAGCCAATATTCCTCGACAGCTCATTAATTTTCCAGTGAGCCAGGTCACCATTCAGGCCAAACAGCAAGAAACCTGACCCCAACACCACAAATATCCAGACATCTTCAGAATCCCCTACAGACAGTTGAGAGAGGCAGATTGTCACGAACTCCTCCAGCTGACTGCATTCCATTCATTCCTGCCACTAACGTGGCGACTGACGTCATCACGCCGACACTACTTAAGGAAGTGCCGGCGTTTCATT